TAGCTACGCCTCCAGCAGCCGGAATTTTCGGCCTTTGAGCCCGGAACGGACGATATGTCTATATAGCCCGTTATTGCGGCTCTCACGGCCGGAGTTTTTTTTCAGTGCATCAATCCGCCGTATGAACTCGTATTAATCTACCACGCTCAACTTGATATCAAATGTATTCATGTTCGTAGTTTATCTGAGTGGAGCACTATGAAACATCGAAAAAAATGTTTATGGAACTTCAAATTGGCTTTCCGGGACGACCACATAACGTTCACCGAAGAAAAAAGAGGTGCTGCAGTAACATCCTGGATGTTAAAAAAATGTGCGACAACTCTTGGATGTTGTCATTACCACTCTGGCTGTTAAAGTAACATCCTAGGATGTTACTTTTATATCCTATCATGCTACGTTAACTGCAAGAGTGTTAATAGCAGCATCCAAGAGTTGTCGCACATTATATTAACAACCATAACATCCGGGATGTTACTACAGCATTTTTTTTTTTTCGGTGTCGCACCGCTGTTCTAGAGGACTCCGAGAGGCAACAGTGGATGGCGGATCTTGCCCTCTAGACTAGAATGTAGTTTAGAATCATGACAACGACTTTCGAGTAAAATTACGGGGAACAAATAGGAGCGAAGTATATTTTTAAGGTACTTACTTAAGCGATTATATTAAAATTTGAGCCAAAATCGAATAAAAGCAATCTGCATTAGCCTGGCGCAATAGATATGATAAAAATGAATAAGTTTCAGCGTGGAACGTCTTCGACTTACCCTTCATTTGTAAATCAGGTTCCGAAACATTTTCAGGCCTGGCGAAACAACATAAACAAAACCTGAAACACAGCACTGCCGCACGGTGTGGCGAAAGGCCGGTTTGCCCGGACATGCGCTCGACAACTTGCGTTTTGTTGTCAACTGTGGCCCTAAAACGCATCATTTTTAAGTAAGGAGGACATATCCTGGGCAATTTTTGTCGTAGATTTCAAATCTGCCCTTATTTTTACCATTAGAGCGATGAAAATCCGAGAAAAATTGCTATTTACATAAGTTGTTCCTGAAAAATACTGAAACATTGATTTCCACCTGGAAACTGCGGTTTTAAAACGCATCATTTTTAAGTAAGGAGGACACTCCTGCAGCAATTTTTGTCGTAGATTTCAAATCTGCCTTTACTTTTACCATTTGAGTAATGAAAATCCAAGAAAAATTGCTATTTACACAAGTTATTTCTGAAGAAGACTAAAAACATTGATTTCCTGAACCACCTCGAAACTGTGGCTTTAAAACGCATCATTTTGAATCAAGAAGCGTGATCATAGGGTAATTTTTGTTGTAAATTTCAAATCTGCCTTTACTTTTACCATTTGAGTGATAAAAATCCGAGAAAAATTGCTATTTACATAAGTTATTTCTAAAGAAGGCTAAAAACATTGATTTCCATCTCGCAAATGAATGCATTTCTATGATTTAAACGTTCGACACTTCTTAAAATATTTGCAGCCATCCTTTTCTCTTTCCACCTGGCTTTATGAGCAGCATTGTACGTATTCATAATTGTATATCTTAATACTGCTGTTAATATAGGAACAAAAAAAATTGAATAAAATAGAAGAAACGAGATTTTAAACAACATATCTATTTGCCCTTCATGACCAAACAAAACGTTAACTCTCGACTACTTCATCCACTACCATATCCAGCTAATTAGCTACATCCAGCTTAATGAATCTTGTTTTTTAATTTTTGGTAAAATTAGTCAGACTAAAATGTGTAATAAGTATATATTTACAATATTAGTCCTATTAATAATGACTTTCTACAGGTGAAATTTAATGATATTCTACATGATATTCGAAATTTCTATAATTGCCGTGTTTATAATTATTATAACATGAGGATACCAACCAGTGTGAGTAGTAGTCACATTATTTAAACTTATAATAACAGTTCTAACCTCTTTACCATTCATTATTAGTATGATAAATAACAGAAACAATTTAAATTTCTGAAATGTCCTATACATAGAAGTAAATAAATTACACTACTACCGCTGCATCCAGTAACTTCTTTTACACGTACTTAGCCTATTTTAACCTTTGACCACTTACCTGCGTGATGGATCTTAGGGAAATATCAACAATTGGTTGCGCGGAGTGATAAAAACCGATTTCGCGCAACCGACTTCATATCAGATAATATCATGCTGCCGTCGGAGTAGCAGATATTAGCAGCTAAAAATTGTTTAGGAGGCTTCTCAGGGGTCCTGTGGGTCTGCCCCAACAAGTCCCAGCGTGGCACTCCTTGGCACTTGGAACGAAAGTTAATATAAAGTTTTATTTTCAGCATTTTCGGCGCGAGGACTTTCAGACGGCATAAATCGTATTCAACCCTATTTACGGCTACATTTTAGTAGTGAAAAATGATCAGCAGCTTGCATAGAGTAAGATTACGTCATTGGAAAAGGTCTCATGAAATGTTAAAATAGACTAAAGAATGTACAAACATTGGTGCGTTTTTAGAGGAAATTTTAGATTGCCGACTTAGCGGACTTTAGAGGCCTGTACCATCAATATGGGGGATGAAAATTTAAAAACTATCATCAAATCCATATAATATAATACTCGTAGAACACATTTCCGGTCCTAAACATTCACAATCCCGGAATCGCCCATGTCCGACCTTTTACCCATATCGCCACACCGTGTGCCGCTGGGTAGCTGAGACCATACTCCTTAGGCCCCGCGCGTCGCACCTCATATGCTTGTCACGTCTCACATCTTTAATAGAGCTTCGATCGTGGTGTTTTACAGGAGTCTTCTGCCCAGTATTTACTATCGATCTAAATCTGAAAATCGTAACTTTTTCGACGATTATTGCACTTCAATTTATCGATTTGTTGCCACTTTAATCAGGCTTTGGAATCAATGAGCGGCGCGGCGCGCAGTGGATCGAGTCAATTAGAGAGATCGGACATGACATTTTTGACTAAAACTGCAAAGTTTGGAGTTCATTTCGTCACAATTTACATTTCAAGGGGTGTCTCAAGAAGAAAATTTTACGAGGAAACCAATAATGGAACCACTTTAAGAACCTCAAAATTTTGTATAAACGGAGTTATAAGCGTTTAAAGTTTCCCAATTTTGTCCGACCTCTCCTATTGACTCGATCCACTGCGCTGCTGCGTGCACTGCTTCGTGGTCTAGTGACCAGTGCGCCTTCAATTTTTTTCATATGCAACACGCGCGTCCATAGAGTGCGAATAGTTGTATTAGCGTTGTTATCAATATCACTGAATGCGTTTCTTATGTTAACTGAGATATTAGCGTGAAAAACCCCACCACGTCTTGTTTCAC